GGTCAGGGAAAAATGCAGAAAAGAAAGACAAATGATACAACAGTAATAAAATTTAAAAAAAGGCAATAACAATAAAAGTACTTAAAGTCCTGGATTCTATGAGTTCCAACAGAATTCAGTCAATGAAGCAAAAAATGGATCTGGGATTGGCTCTTTGGAAGTAAAAGTAAAAGACCTTGGCAAAGGTTCTGTTCTTGATGTAAATTAGAGCTTCTTCTTGATGGTAACCAAGCTTTTTCTTCATGATACATTATAGTATTTCAGCTGCCTTGTGCAGCAGCTTTTTGTGTCACTGAGCAAGCACCACTACCAATCAGAAAGGCTCAGGGGGGTCATGACAGAAGGGCTGAAGTGCTTTATGATCTCTCACCTGCACCTCCCACAATGTCAGTTGCTGTGAGGTGCAAGGACGTAAGTCTAAGGGGGGTGAATCTCAGCTGCGGAGCTCAGAGCTGGCCTGGTGTGGTGCTTGTTGGCTCAGGTGAAGGGTTTGCGGTGCCACTCTATATGGTTAGGAGTGTGGTTGGAGCCCCATACACATCATATGCCAATGATTGAGCCAACCCTAGTGGCAGAGCTACTAAAGGAAGTGGTAGAGGTACCAAAGAGTTCTGCGTGGAGGCCAAGTGAGTTGGTCTTGGGGTATGATGAGGTCTCTAGTTCTTACTTGGATAATCACTATGCGATTTTACATACTGACACAGAGAATATTATGCAGTTCAGCAACAGAAGTCCTCTGCTAAAGTAGTAGCAGCGTATGCAGAAGGTACAGCGTGCGGTTATACAGGTTGTCCACTACTAGCAGGTTAAGGTTCACTACTATAGGCAATATGCAGAGTACTGTCTAGGCGAGTACAATCTCAACTGTAGCAAGTAAGTTATAGCAACACTGTCTCTTTATTGCACCCAACACAGAGTGTAGATATAGTAGAGGTTCTCCCACAGGAGAGTACTTGCGGTTGTGCTGCCAGTGGGTTCACATGCAGGCTAGCTGAAGGCGGCTCCGGATGGTGATTCCCATGCGGTGTTAGGAGAGGATAGGCCCCTGGAGGAAAGGTTGAGGCTGTTTTCCCAGCAGAGATACGGTGTGGTTCCGGCTGCTGCGTGGAGATGTGAGTATCACTTGCCCAACGTTCACAACACTAGAACGCTGGGCAAGTGTAACCTCCTCCATCTTATGGAGGAAGAGGAAGTGCGGGGGGAGGAGCCGGGAGCGGCGGCCGACGCCAAGGTCTCACAGAGACTGAGCGCCGCTGGCGAGGACGTGCCGCGGTTGGGCAGGTCTATGAAAGTTGCACAACAGCAGCTAAAATGTTTATATACTCGCATGTTACTACCTCATAATCAATAGATTATTGTGTGTTATGAAATTTGCTTTGTATAGATACCAGACTTGACATACCTGTGTGGTATACCTCCTTCAGAAGGGGCAATATGTGTCTCAAATGACACATCTATATATTGTGATGTTTGGGGCTATTAGCACACATGGTGAGTGCTTAAGGGTGCAGTCCACTCGAAAATAGCTTCTGTTTAGGGGTTGGTAGTCCATTTTTATTCAAACAAAAGTTCATACATCCACCTTGGACACCCTCGCAGGGGTTGCTCAGCATAACCTCCATGCAATACTTGCAACAGAACACAAGTTTAGCTTCCACTTTAAACATTACCATTTCTAACCCACTGGTCCTCTTTGAAGTGCTGTCCCACACTTGTACCGGCTGCCCCTCAGGCTCACAGCTCTCCTAGCCTCACCAGTTCTCTCCCAGCCTCCCTGGCTATTTTCATGTGCCTCCAGCACACACACCACCTGACTCCACTTTAACGTCTGGGGGAGTTCTCCTGACCCCTGAACACCATCCTTTCCTATGCCAGCAGGAGCTCACCTGACTCCTCTCTGACTTCTGTGGGAGTTCCCCTGATCCCTGGAGCTAATTCCCGTAGCCAGCATCCTTTCCTTAAGGGCTGTGCACACCTGTGCAAGCAACGGGTGCTGGTCACTGCTAAATCCTGGACCCAGGACTGGAGATCTCCTCCCGTCTGAATTACCTTGAAACCTCCCAGTTCCAGGATCCCAAGCATAATCCAGACAAACCCTTGCTTCCTGACACCTCAGCCCCTCTGGCTGAGAGTTCTGGGTGATCATAACACCCAATTCTACAGTGGGATTGCCACACAATACTACAATATACATTCATTATTAATGTATCACCCCCAGGTCCAAGGTTATCAATGCTGTGTGAGATTTGGGAGGGGTTATGTACAGGTCATTTGTACTTTATCAGGCCGGGCCATCTTTGTGCATTAACTGGGCTGTCCAGTGATAAATAATTAGTGTTTTTGATATGTATTACTGCTTTTTGACACCCTGCCATAAAAGACAATTACACAGCTATAAAAGAGGCCTGAATAAACAACTTGTTTGTTTTGATCATTGGGTAAATTGAAGCTTTGAAGACTCTCTTAACCCTTTCACTGCCAGAGCTGTTTCTTGTGTTTTTGCACACATGTTATAATCCACATTTTAGGCCTGAGTATTACTCAAAGCCCCCCCAGAACTATATATTTCCTGAAAGTAGAGACCCTGTAGAACATAATGGAGGCTGTTACAAATGTTTATGTTGCATATTAGTGCAACTCTTTATCAAAACCAAAATTTCAGGAAAATATATACTTAAATTAATTTTAGTGCGCCAATATACACACAATATAATACCCTTTTTTATAAAATATAAAAGAGAAGGTTGTGGCAAGTAAATAAATACCTGTGCCAAGCCTAAAAATTGAGTGCACCCGTAAAATGGCAAAAAAACCACGGTGTCCAAAAGCAGCACTTTAAAAGCTTGTACAGGCCATCAGTTTAAAGTTCATCATCATTAATATTGGCTCGAGAATTATTGCTCTCAGAATTACTGGTGCACATGTGCACATGGTGATACCTAACATGTGTGGTGCAATTGTCGTTTTTGTACGCAGGTGCACCCAATGAGTGTTTGCTTTAGTATGCGCACTTTCACAGGGACAGGGGACTTTCAAACAAAAATTTTTTTTGGGGGGGGGAGCGGGGCAGTATTTGTATTTAAAATTATTTCACTTAATTTTTCAAAACTTTTTTTAATTAACTTCATTGCTATCACAAGCCCAAATGTGGTTCACAAGCCCCCTATGTGATAGCACATTGGAGGTTTCATTAGCGGTCTATTAGATCAGCCTATTGAACCTGATTGAGCACAGATCTTGCTTGATCAGCTTCCTTCCTAGATTCACTAGCCAGGGAATGACAGCTCAGAAGCCGGACGTGATGCACTCCGGATAAATCTTCCCTGATACCCACCAACAGCCATGATGCCAGTTCTAAGTCTGCAGGAGGGGCAGCGGAGCTCGGGAAGCAAAGCAAGGGGTTTTTTAGCTGCCAAAATTACTTCCAGTAGAAAGCTGATAGTCGGCTTTACACAGGTAAACAAACTGCCTGCAACTATAGTCTGTTTACAGGGCCCCGCAGCCAGCGCCATATGCCTTACATTGGATTTAATTATATGTAAACAAACATATTTAGTGTGCTAGAGTACAGCTTTAAGTACACTAAGTTGGAAATTGAAGCCAGCTCCAGGGACTTAAAACTGAGGATATTTTGTCTAAAGAAGGATTTATTTTTCTACAAATTTGTGCCACCTGTCTAACACATACCACTCGCACCCCACACAAGACATAAAAAGTCAGCCTGTGTCTGTGTGCTGGGTTTTATATCAATGGAGAGTCCATTAACATCAGCCCTCCTGATTGGCCCCTGCAGGTGTGGTTCAAGGTGTTTTCTAGGTCAAAGAGTATGCTAAGGCTTATAGGCTGAGCATGTATGCTTCTTAAATGATATGAGCTGTGAAGTGCGGGATCACTTTTTTTTATCTCTGAATACTTGTATCAACCAGCTATATTTCCAAAAATAGTTCCAATTTTCTTATTTGATTTTTTTTTTACTTGGAGGACCATGAGGATGACATCAAGTTCTTGTTTCCCCCTGGTAATACAATCTCAATATACATTAGTAAACTAAACGTGTCATTGTAGTCTATCACAGCAGTGAGATTGGAGCGGTGGCTACTTTACAGCACACACAGGGGCCATGGGGAACAAAGGTAGCCACCCTCCAGAAGGAAGGACAGTGTCAGAATGAATTCAGAGATGATTTGAGGATCTACAGCTGAATGATACACAAATAAGATCAATTTTTGTTAATAGTTAAGGTAGCTAAATGTATTTTTTAAATGTAACTTCTGAGTTTAGTGTCACTTTAACAAAAATTTATCTAGATTGTGTATCACTCATCTGCAGATCCTTAAATCATCTCTGAATTGGTACTGACACTGTCCTTCCTTCTGGAGAGTGGTTACTTTTGTTCTCCATGGTCCCTGTGTGTGTTGTAAAGTAGCCCCTGCTCCAAGCTCACTCTTGTGATGGACTACAATCTCAATTCAAATAAGTAAACTAAACGTAAAATTGTAGTCCATCACGGGAGCATGCTCAGAGCAGTGACTACTTTACAACACACACAGGGACCATGGAGAAAAAAAGTAGCCACTATTCATACTCTGCAGCAGAGTGATGGACAAAAAAGATACATTTTTGTTAATAGTTAATAAGATTTAACTCCTGAATTAGTGTCACTTTAACTGGAAAGGTGACTGGATGATTATGAATACATCGGGAAAGATCATGAGTTAGACTTTGAATAAAGGCAGAGTATGAATCAGAGCAGAAAAAAAAGACACTGACAGGACCCAGGCACTTTGAAAATTGTTGTTTCATGGGGTTTTCCCAGTTTACTTTACAAGCTTTGCATAATTACGCTTTTAAAAAGACATCTGTTTGTAACATTAAGTTTATTAAAATTGTATTTCTAATCAAAAACTACGGGGAACAAAGGGAGCTATGCAAAATACAGCTAAAGTGAATCAAACTCCAGGCTTTCAATAAAACTTACCCTGAATTGTATTTCCATATGTTTTGTACTATGACATTTTGTGATCACTGTATTAAAATGTATTAACATTTTAAAACCTCATCACTTCATAGCTGGAATTACCATGAAAGCAGAAAAGTTTAGGTTTTACAGTACAGTAATATAAAACGAATCTCACACTATTAAAAAGAAACAAATTGGAGGATGTTATCCAAAATGATTCTTATAGGATTAGTTATTTTTAAGTAGCCACTGAGGTCTGTTATGACCAAGCATACTGAAATAAGACCACCACCAAGGTTTTTCCCTGTCTTGTGATTGCTCATCCTCTTCCTCTCCTTGTCCTTGTCGAGCATGTGGGTCATAGGAGTCCAGTGGGTCTAATCGATCATAAATGTCTTCTGGAATAGCTTTATTAAAACTACGGTTACTGACTTCGACCCTCTGCAAAACAAAATCAACCTGCCCTGCCTTTGTCATCTTAGCTGGTAGGGTAATTTTCTTAGTGACCTTCGAGTAGCCGAAAGCCTCAGCAGAAACTATGTGCACACCAGGAATCAAGAGTCGCCAATAATCTCCATCTTCAGCTATAAAAAAGTAAAGAAAAATCAGTTGGCTAAGAGGACTTAATCAATACTTTCAAAATCTTCTTATAAATAAATGATGAAACAGCATCTAGAAAACCTCTCCCGCAGGAGGTTAGATAACAGCTGTAGCCTGAAAATTCACAGTTCACACACTATGGACACAAATGAAGACAAATTGTGGGTTTATGAAGACAACAACCATGAACAGGGACAAAAACACTTGTGAAAAAAAATAAGTCAAATATGTACATAGATAAGAAATTTACACAATTACGGTACATTGCATCTAACTTTCAACATTAAAGCATATCTAAACCTAGCAACAAAAATGTAATATACTGCAGCTTACCAGTCCGCAGTTGTAATGCCTGCATTTGGTTTCTATTTTAAGGCATTTTCCCCTTTAGTTTTAACTAGTGACACTGCCTGTAACACACATCTTGTCCTAGAGTGACAGTACTTACACACCGTACTGTATCACATTGTCACTTTGGAACAAGAGGTATTTTAGAATACAACTCCGTCTCCATAACATAGAGTGTTCTGTAGTCCACAGAGAGAGCTGTGATCAAGATAATGGTCAGCACAAGAAGTGATTCGAGGAAGTTCCCAAAAATGTCTGGCAGCATCAACAGGTTTTGGTTTTTTTTTTGCCCATTTTAGATATATTAAAACACTTTCAATGGTTTATTTAACAGACTGGAAGAGAACATAAAACAGTTTACTGTTAGGGATCAAGTACACTTTAAAAAAAATAATGCTTATACTATAGTAAACATTGAGTAGCCGTGTATGTCATTGCAAACAGCTGTACATTCTGTTTTTATATTTCTGGCAGTGCTGCACAAGGTATTAAGTATACCTAGTTGTAGTAGTAAGTCACATTCAATGCACATATTGTTGAATGTCCAGGGGAATGTGACTTACTACTATGAGGTATACCATCACCTAGATAATTTAACATCTTACACTAAATCAAAAGTTCAGAATAACTATTTCAACCTTGACATCATTGTTATGGAAACCCAGAGTTATGCCTTAGGGAAAAGACAGTGCTTCCATTAAACAAAAATAATGACTACGGTCTAGTACCAGTAGGGCACTGTACTGCCAACAGTCCAGAAATGTAAAAACAGTTGGAAGAAAAACAGTAGAAAATGCAGGTTAATCGAAGTTTGCCATGAAGTCTGGGGAAAAAATAAGTGGAAATGTATTTTCCTGGTGCCTCCATGGCAGTATACCATTGATATGGCTCCGCCCCTTATCCCTGCCCACAGGACCAGTGTAAACCTATAAAAGAGAGAGATCCCCCTGCATTCTTTTTTTTGTCCTCACATCTCTTGACCTGCACCAGTGACATGTTGTCCCTACCTCTGTGTTGTAAATCGATGCAGTCCCAGCTGGGTTCATGCCTCTCCCAGGTGCAGTCCCAGTACCTCAACTGCTCAATGCGTCATTAAGGTCTGGGAGCCCCTTCTTGAGTCTTGGGGGCCTCTCTCTCTCTCTCTTTCCCATCGCATACGTCCTAATTAGGTTCATAGATGGCTGTTGTGGTGAACGCGTGATGGCTTCAGGTACTTTTTGCTCTTCGCTTTCTTTCTCTTGTGTCCTTTTACTTTTTGTCTCTCTCCCCTTCCCTTCTGCAGTCATACCCCTCTCCTATCTTTTTACCTTTTGTTTCTTTCCCCTTCACTTCTCCAGTCTTTCCCCTCTCCTGTCTCAGTTTCTTGCCCCTTTGGACTGTCTTTCACTTCCTCTCTGTCTCCATGGTGGTTGCTTCTAAGGCGCGGCGGCGCTCTCTCTGAGCTTTTTACTGGCCGGGTCGCTGATGTCACCGCGTTCGACGTTGTTTCGTTTGCACATGCACAGTTTCGACCGGCAATCGGGCGCCATTTTGGATTCATGGGCGGTGGGAGGGAGCTGGGAGGCGGAGGCTGGGCAGATTACAGCCCTGTTATGAGGAAGAGGCTGGCACTTGCCGCCCTTGCAGGATTCAGGTTGAGATTCGTCCGGATCGTTTTTTTTTTGGGGGGGGGGGGGGCTGCGACCGGTTCCC